TTCAGCTCAGGTCATGATCTTGGGTCCTGGGATGGAGCCTCGTAGTGAGCTCCATGCTCAGTGGGGAGTCTTCTTCTCCCTCTGCCCCTTCCCACCCTCCCCCTCCGCTCGTGCTCTCTCAAATAAATAAATAAAACCTTAAAATAAAATAATCATGGGGCACCTGGGTGGCTCAGTTGGTTGGGTGACCAACTCTTGATTTCAGCTCAGGTTATGATTTCAGGGTCCTAGGATCAGGCCCCACCTCGGGCTCTGCGCTCAGTGTGGAGTCTGCTCGTTCCTCTCCCTCTGTTCCTCCCCTGGCTTGCACACACACACTCTCTCTCTCTCAAATAATAAAATCTTTTTTTAAAAATAAATAAAAAATAAAATAATCATAATAAACCCAATGCATGTTTTTTATGAATATGTATTTTTCCAAATAAAAACACTTTCCAAACAAAAACACTTAGGAGAGGCACTGCTTTGCATCTCTGTAAATCTGTTTAATGTCTGCCTTCGTGAAAGGCAATTGGATTCTCCCATCGACTTCGGCATTCAGTCTGCTGCGATATCACACTTCATGCAGTCTCTGGGAAACTGTACCATATGCTCATGAGCAGGTAGAGTGAAACAAGCCAGTAACATCTTAGTATTATTGCCAAAAAGGTTTTAATCTCATGGACCCACTGAAAAGGTCTCCAAAACCCCCACATGTACCTGGAACATACTGAATTTAAAGGGTTTAAAACAGTCACAAAGTAAATTCATAATAAGTACTAATTCGCTATTCCTTTTATTCTTAGCCTCAATGTTATTAGAACACAAACACATTAGGGAAAAGACTTCTTCAGCTGTATAATATCTAGCAGCACCATGACTCCTGTAGACAGATGATCAACAAGTGTTACTGTTGTTGCTTATTCTGGTTCCATAACTAATTAGCTGTGTGATCTTCAGCCAAGGATTTCTAATCTGTGTTCAAATTCAGAGATCCATGGACTTGAAAAGGGAAAAAAATTCATCTCTATTTTCTAACCCTCAGCATTTACTTTAATTATGACTGTAGGCAATAAACCCCCACTTGTACCAAACTGAAATCATAGGTATTTTCATATCACATCACAATTTACTGCAGATATCTTAAAAAGATCATATATGCTCACCACTAATTCAAAAGTATGGTTGTTATTAGACCTGCCACTAGATCTTGTTATCTAGTGCATTAATAAGCACATATTACAATATCACAAATTTTGAAAAATATCTTGACAGCTGTATTTCAATACAACTGGGTTTCATTTTCAATCCTTCATAGTTGACTTTATGCACTTGAAATCATCATTCTAAGAAAGTGATCCACCGGCTTAACCAGATGACCAACGGAGTTCATGCAGTCAAAAGGTTACCTTGTGTTAAGCAATTCATTTTACCTCTTTAGACACTAAGTTCCTCTCTTTAAAGGGAAACTGGACTAGTTATTCTCTGAGACCCTCCCCTCAAGAGCTGGACGGGAACCCACAGCACACCTGAATGCATTAACAAAGAGCTACAAGGGTCTGCTTTCAATTTTTACACCAGCATTTGAGAGTCTACTCTACCAAGCCAAATGCTTTCAGATTAATGGGCCCTAGCAGAACCAAACAGATGAAGAGCTAATGGCGAAAACAAAAGTTCTCCCACATTACCTTTTATTGCATTATAACAATATAGATCACAAACAATAATGAATTATTTTGCAAAAAAATCAACCATCAACATAATCTGGGACTGTTATTGATATAAATAGCTTGTTTGGGTGCAGACTTAAACATAAATATTTCAAATCATCAGAAGAGTAACCTGGATATATATCACTAAAGTTTGCTTTAAAACTAAATAAAAGCGATTATATCCTCCTATCCTCAAACAGAAAAATTTCAAGAAAGAAAGAAAAGGAGAAAGAGAGAGGGAGAAAGAAAAGAAAAGAAAAGAAAAGAAAAGAAAGAAAGAAAAGTAAAGTAAAGAAAAAGGAAGGAAGAAAAGAGTGGCTTGGGAAGCGCACTTGTTTCTAAGCACTTGGCATGGAGCACTTCACACCGGGATGCTAATGGACTAGAACTTTAAAGAAGCAAATCTATTGGTCCTCTCCCTTGATGCAGAGATAACACACATGGGTCATTTAGGCCCTTCTAAATGCTAGAGATTGAGCCAACAGAGCTGTGTTTAAGAACTAAGCCCAGACAGATTACATTTCAGTCCCCATAGAAAAATCTAGGCTATGTCAGGAGCAGCCAATAACGGCACCAAGATAATATAAGAGTAGAGACTGCCAGCCTCCCTTAGCAAAATTCAAATTGAGATCAAAGCGCTACCCTCACACAGAGTAGCTGTGAGTCATTAAAATGGTTCAAAATGTCTATCATACAGTTTCCTTCACCTAGAAACGCCATCCAACCAGGAGACACTCACAAGTGATAACTATCCCCCCAAAAGTCCAACAAGCCAATTTTCCTAATTATATTTAAATGAGTCTGTCTACTCTATGCTTTCTTGTTTTCTCAACAGCACATCTCATTTTTTTTTTTTACTCGCAAAGATAAAGACTGACTGAAGGCTCTCGCTTCGCACATTTAACCAAACAAAATAAAACTCATATTGTGGTGAATGGGGATGTGGGGAGAGGAACTGCATTAAATCATCATAGAAATTAGGTTAGGGCTTTACAGTGTCACCTCAACACCAAGGACAAGCAGTTACTGAATGCATACTCTATATCTGGTATTGTGACAGGGATACAGAACCATAACCTTCTGATTCAGTGAGCCCAAGGATAAAAGGATAAGTAACAAAGAACGGCACAATGTAATGATTGTGAGGAGAGGCGTAAAGGTTTGGGAAGGTCTGGCTCATACCAAATCTGGGGAAGCAATGGGAATAGATTTGAGCCCTGAGGAAAAGGCCGGATTGGGGGAGGATGGGGAGGATGCAGACGTGGGAGGGCACTGTGGACAGGGGACAGGCACAAGGGAGCAAAGTCCCAAAGGAGAGACTGTCCACTGCATATTGCACGCACAAAGAAGGGTAGTGTCTGCACTGGTGAGTTCATGAAAGAAGCCAGGAGAGATAAGGTTGGTGGAGACAGGTTGAACAAGATTATCATAACCTCGAAAGTTGGGCTCAATTTAGACTTTACCCTGTAGGCCAAGGAAGGCTTCCAAGCAGGGAGGTGTTATGAACAACAGTGAGTTTTAGGAATAAACAATGGTGATTTATCTCCTCGGCTAATCTGTCCTAACAGTGGGTCCTTTTGTCAAACCAAGATTAATCAGAATCTATTGTGTCTAGTAAAATAAGTGTGCCAAATTATATCCTGGGGCAATTTTGCTACCACCGATGCCCTGGAAATGCAATTCAAATACTTCTCTTGACTGATGATAAATAACCGGGTAACCTGACTCCAGAACAGGGGGAAAAAAAAAAAAAGTATATTAAAAAGAAAACATGTCATACTTGCTCCTATGACTATGGCAATTAAAACCATATTTGGGGGGTATGCCTGCATGACCTACACAAAAGTCCTAATAGTTTTGGATCCTGTTAAAATTAAAACCGATAACTTTGTAAGTAGTAATTAATGATTAGGCATTGCTAAATATGCTTTAATTTAGTAGTACTCTGTAACGCTCAAAAATAAAGAAATTGATTCCCTCTATCTTAGACCATTTCACCTCCATAACTATCGGCTACTTACTGGCAACTGCGTGAAGCCTCATGACCAAATTATGACCAGGTAGTCTGGGGCAGAAGAAACACATACTTATTTCTGAGTTGTAGCCACAGGAGAGTGCAAGGATTCTAAATAAAATTTAAGAGGAAACAAGTTTTTTGGAATAGAGGGAAAACAAGGAATTATGTATATAGAATATATATTTTTATATATACAGACACATAAAGGGTCACAATTAAGAATACTATAGTAAGTGTGAAAGGGTGTGGTTGTTGGTTTTTTTAACTGACTCGTGATTAGAGTTGAAAAGCACCTAGAGGATGAAAAAAACAAACAAACAAGAGTATCTTTAAAAAGGACTTCACTGTCAGAAAACGCAGAAGCATAGAAGTTCAGGGACCGACCACTCCCTACTAACTGAAGCGGTGAGGAAAAATGGGGGGCAGGGAAAGGACGAAAGTAAAAGATTAAATTACAAATGGGCCAAATGAATGAACCTGAGAGCAAGTGATACAATTCTCAACACACACTGCTATGTTGATTCTAGGGAACCGCTCCGAAGTCTACTTGCCCTGTAATCGCCTGGCTATGTATGGCAGTCTTTCCAGGAGACCTCAGCAACCTCACTCCTGGATAAAAGGTGCAAGGACCATGGTTTTTCACCTGGGTCAAAACCAGGCACAGCCAGCGCTTCGGGTCCAAAACAACACAACAGCAATCCCTCCGCGGGTGGTGGGGGCTCTTCCAGCACCGCTGTTGGGAATGCCAAGTGCCTGGCCAGGACCTGTCCCAGTTTTCTTAACAACATATCCTCATGTTATCCCACGATGAAACTCGGGGCTCAGAAGGCAGTCTTACAGCGTCTTCATGCACGCTCCGTTAGGGACGAGCAGCGTGTCTGCACAATCAGCCCCCGGGGGCAACCACCCCCGTTGCCTGGTCACACACTTCCTGTTTCTTCCATCACCTCCACCCCACGACTTCAGTTTCCCACATCAGTTTAAAACTGTTAGCAGGGTCCCAGTCCCTGGGAGGAAAGGGGGGCGGGCGGCTTTCTACCCCCAAACCCTCACACTGGGACCTCAGAGAGAACCCAGGAAGAGGGAAGGCAGAAAACGCTGGGTCCGCGAGCGGCACCCGCCTTCCGCCGACGGCGGCCGATTACAAACTACTCAATGAAACCACAAGGATGGGGAGGAGAAAGGCGAGCACCCGGGCCCGGTGCCCCAAATGAATAGCTGGCGAGCGCGCTCGTCTTTTGACGTTTCCACCTTGCAGGGCGCTGGAGCTTTGGGTTCGAGAGCCGGCTTACCAGTCCCGGAGCCCGAGTGCACTTTTAGCCACTCGGATTCCCCAAACCTGGAGGGACGTCCCCAACCGGGAACTGCCTCCGCGGGAGCTGAGCTTTGACTGCGCCGGCGAGGGCAGCGGGAGCCGGACCCGGTGCCGGGCAGCGCGGGTACCCAGTGGCCCGGCGTCCGCCGCCCAACTTTGCGCAAGGCAGGGCCGCTCCCGCGAACTTCTCGGCAGGCGGGCGGGGTGGGGCGAGCACTCACCAACCCCGTACTTCTGCCTCTTGGTCGGGATCCAGCGGGCCATGGCGGCGACCTCGCCCCGCCGCGGCTGCGGTGCCGGCGGCGGCGGCTGCGGC